TGTTTGTGAGTGTGGAGTTACCATTCTCAGTTTTGACAGTTGGATCTTCTGAATTATGAAAGAATGCGTATCGAGAACCAGATCCAGAACAGCGTGCACTCATTGGCTGTCTGATTATACCATATAAGGTGTTTGAAGATAATTACACAAGCATTAGGAAACTAATAAGCACTGTTACCTTTTGCGACAGATTCCGAGACAAAAGAGGCTGAAACGGCCAAGCTGTAAACCAGATGCATGATGGGATTACTAATGTTGCTGCTGCAGACGGTATGTGCATATAATATGCAGTATGGGTATAAACTCTTACAAACATGCAGGAACAGTGTGTGTACTCGAGGTGAGTGATGCTGTTTGAATACACGAGGTACAGCTCGACTCCTCCGTCCCATTCTGCCTATAAACCTTCTCTGAGTAGCTCGGACTTGTAAACACACTCTACTCTCTGAGCAGCTCATTGAGGGTGAGTGACGAACCTGCTGTGATAGCAAGTGTAATTCTGTGATTTCATAGAACGTCCTGAGCCTAATTACCTCCAGTATTGCAGCGTGTGTAGCGCAGGACAACTCATGAAATAACACGCGACTGTCACAGAAATTGACGCGTAAACCTTAATTCCAGTGAATTAAAGGACATGGAGAGCAGCCAGTTCCCAAAGTAAAATTTTTCAGGCCTTAATCACCTGATCTCTCCCCTGACGTCACTTTGTCATTCTGTACATGGCTTCACTTTAAGTGGTCAATCCCATTTAAATGTCAAAAGTCTGACTAAACCTGAGCTGCCCCAACTCGCCATAAACAATTCATGCCCGCGCGCACAAGTCAACACGCTGTCCCCGTAACCCGAGGGGGCCGAGCTCCGATCAGCTGATCGGCGCCAAACACACTGCACGACCGGGTGCTTCCTGAGGCGCGTCTCATCTATAATGGAGCGACCCCATCGCCTTCCAGGTCGGCCTTTTCTTGATGGAGCCCATTGGCTAATTGTCCCGGCCTTCTGCTGGCCAGGTAGCAGCCGGCTGGTTCAGAGGTGGCCCGGGGACATGAGCGCTCCACGCTCACCTCGCCTCACTGCCCGTGTGAGGGCGAGGCCTCTGACTCACTCCACTTCTCTGCCATCTCTTTCTCCCGAAGCGTGGCGTCTGTGTGTTGGAAGCATGGGGGGGAGGGTCCGAGTCTGATTGTTCTCTCTGCTGGAGACTTTTCTGTACCTGAAAGGTCACATGGGGCTTGATAAGATCCCTCAGAGAACCAGCGCAGTGCAATTTCTATCAGATGTGCTTGTGTAACTGCACTTGAGTGTCCTTTTTTTTTGGCCAGGATTATAAACCACAAGCTGTGTGACAAAGGTGAAAAAAGGAAATGCTCTGTGCGAAGAGGTGAGGTGAGGCCGGGCTCCTCCGCCATCAGAAGCATGAGAGAAATCGACTTCAAAGTGGAGGGAAATCAAGTGTGGCGAACCCAAAAATAGGCACCGATGCGTTTCAGACATTTTAGCCTTCATCAGGGCATGCTGGTGGACTCTTTATCTTTCCACTTCAAGAGTGCCTCGATTTCTGGAGACGGTTTTTAACCTCATTATTCCGGCGCGCTCATTCCAGAAGAGCGGCTACGTTTCTAACAGCATAATTATTGCATTACACATGAGGGGCTTATTTTTGTTTGATGACGTGTTCCCACTTGGCGGGTTGGACGAGAGTTGCATCATGATGTGGGTGAGAGTTGGGGGTGAGTGTTTTTTTTGTTTTTTTGAAACCTCAAACATTTAAGAATTTTGTTTAATCAGATGTCAGGAAAGCTTCATGCATTTCCCCCTCCTCGTGTTGCAGTGCAGCTATTCTTTGTTGGTAGCTGCTCTAACAGATTTATCTTCACTCTCAATAATCAAATTCCTTCAACGCTCCCATTGCTCAGCTTTCTTCGTCTACGCTCACAAGCTCCCTCGTTATCCATTTGCGGAGCGACGGCGGGGAGGACGTTCTGACTTATTGAATAAGGGGGGGGGGGGGGGGCTGTCTTAGATTGGCAGGACACCTGGAACCATAGATCACGAAGACAAATGAGTGGATCAATGAGAAAGAGAAGCGGGGAGGAGGAAGAAAGAAAACAGGCTGAGATAAGGACAGATAGCAGAGTGAAAGGTAGAGGAAGAAGTAAAGAGCTCTGTGGTGATTCAGCAAAACACATTTCCAGGATCTACTCTTGTCTCTTTAGAATTAGAAGAAGAAGATGGGGGACTATCCTGGAAGAAGCGATGCACTGGGAGGCACACTTTAGCAGTCACCGTAGTCTACCGTAGTATAATAACTCTTCCCAACAGAAGTCACGAAATACTAATAAACGCGCGAGTCGAGATAAAATCTATAACCTTCGGCATGATGATGGAATCAAAGGCTTGGATTCAATCTTTGAAAGTTCATGCAGTATTAATACGTTTGAGCCTTGAGCTCAGGCCTCTCTCTGAATCTTGAGGGTGTGTGTGTGTTAGGATTCTGGAAGTGCAACCGCGGCAACTTCTGTGTCTGTTTGACTGCGGATGTTGAAGGCTTTCTACGTGACTGAAGAACTGAGGAAAGTTTGCAAAAACGAGAAACCCAACCCTGGTGATGTCACAGTGACGTATTTTGCGTTATTTCAGCTTGGCCTCGGAAGCTACGAATTTAAAGTCGTGGTCAAAAAAATCTAAAACTATATTGAAATGCAATTCTAAAAGTTGGAATACTCTTTTAAGCATATAAACATGTGCATTCAAGACACCCCTGTACAGTATTTATGACATTTATCTGTAATTCTGCGTACAAATATTCATTTATTGTGCTGTCTTGCTGTATAGAAAGAAGCTCCGTGTCTCTCCATCACACCACCTCCTGCATTCAGACACACACACCATCCAATATCCTGTCGATGTGTGAGTGACAGACATATCTAACAGCAGTCCCAGCTCCCTCTATCTCTGCTGCCTCTCTTTTTTTTAATGCAACTCTGTGTCTGATAATGGCTGCATTGTCCTCACTTAATACATACCGCCGAAACAACTCGCCGTCTCGCTTTTCATTGCGGCTCATTTACATGATAGCCGTGTAGCTCATACTGCAAATACATTTCGTACACACTTTTTTTTATGTTCTGAGCAGGGTTTCAAAACGTCTAAAAATAAAAAAGTATCTGTAAACATAGTCATTTGTGTCTACAAAGCAATGTTGAGGTCGTAAATGCAAATTAATTTTGAATTATTAGACAGTTCCTTGATGTTTTCGCCCACACAGGACAAAGTGGTCAGAGTCTTTTTAAAACCCACCTGATGTACTGAAGCTCGTGTTGATCACAGTGCTTCTCCACCGGCACAATCTACCAGATGTGCAGCATTCTGAGACTGCAAAGAGGGGAAAGAACAACCTCACAGCGTTTTGATTTTGGTTCAGTGCCACGTCTAAGCTGTATACGTTTTCATCAATATCTTCTTTCACCAGAAAATTTCACTGGGGCAGTCAGTGGTTGGAGGACAAAGCTGAACGTGGTCGCAATGACAAACCCTCCGATGTCAGAGGAGATGTGAGGGAGGGACGGGGATGATTAAGGACGAGAGTGGGGGCAGTAGACGTTAGGATGACAAAGAACTGCAGGAGAGACATGACGGAGACAAGTGTATGTGTGATACCAGATTTAAATGAATTAAGCTTTATTATAGGCCTATATAGAATATGTAATGTAAATGTTCCTTCAGATACAATTGGAAGATTTGTGAGGATAAACACGAGTTCTGAAAGTTTCAGAGTTAAAAGTAAGATTTGAATGTCGGCAATAACTCTCTCTCTCTCTCTCTGTACCTGTAATGTTTGCTGCGTTACAAAAGCTTTTAATTTAAGTTTGTGTGCGTGCCTTTCCGCGATCCAACTCACTTCTTCCCGCGAGATTAAAACATACCCTTTTCAGCTTTGCACGCTGGTATCTGTGGTACTATTTTAACGGGGAAAGATCTGAAATGCTGCGAGAGAAGAAAAGAGAAGCTCGAAACAAACCAGCCTCGGCGGGGTGAAACAAGGTTCAATCAATCGTTCGTGCTTCCCAAAACTGAATCGCAGTTTACACTTTCATAACCCCTTCGGTTTTTATGAATTTTACCTCATACACCAAAGAAATGTGAACCGTGACGTAGCGTTGGACATCTGCCGCGCTGATGAGAGTCGGCGAGTTCATCGCTGCACGGTCCTACCTATAGGCCTCAGGGGACAGGAAGTAGGGAGGCAGAGAATCAGGGAGTTGTCGGTGTGCCAATCACATAAACTACAAAGATGAAGTCTGGCTGTAGCTTCCTCTCTGCTCATCCCCTTTAATGCCAGCACGAAAAGGCGTTTTGTGTTTCGGTGCATCCGGGCTTCTTTCTGTTTGTATTACAAGATTGAAGATGGTGTAGTTTAAGATATCGGCATCAGTTCATAATTCACCGTCATGATTTCTGAAGAAGTTTTCTGAGGGAAAATGTTATTTGGTATAAAGTCTGCTCAGGTTGCACTGACTAAAAGACGGCGTCTAGATTTCCTCCATAGTGATTACCATCACGTAGTCCTTTCCAGGAAGCTTCGTAATGAATTCACAGTTGCACGTTAGTTCCTTTCCAGGATTATATTAGGAAACCGGGGGATCTATAAAATGAGGTGTCTTACGTTTAGTCTTTCCCAGATCTTTAAAGAGGTGTTGCGGTTAAGTCATTGAATTTCCCGAGACTATTTAAGTGAACAGCGAAACCCGGCCAAGTAAAAGTCTGCCACATCACCTCCCATAAAACCACAACGTGTTGTTTTTACAGTTCGGCTTTCGTCCAGATTAAACAAACGAGATATAAAGTGAATATATGAGTTTTGGAAGTGTTGTTGGGCCGTTATTTTGTTTTTGTTAATTATCTTTGCCAAGAGCCATTTTTTCCCCCTGCTTCTAGTCCTAATGCTAAGCTAAGCGTCAAAACCAAGGACGCATTCCCCCCCCCAAAATGTCAAAGTATTCCTTTACCAACTTCCACCAGCAATCCCCACATTCCATTATTATATTCAACTTTATTTCAGACACATGAGTCCATATAAAAAAAACTAAAACAACGACACTTTTTACCATCATAAAAAAAAAATAAAGGAATATTTAGATTTAGATCCTCCTTGGTTTTAGCAATCATGATAACACTCTTTTTAGAGTTGAATTTAACATTAATATTAAGGTATTTTGTTTTAAAACATTTAAATATTGGGAGTTATCAACATTTAAAATGTGAAATGACATTGCCCTGCTCTACTCACATGGTGTTTGTCCGCATTGAGCTTTCACCATCCACAGATCCATTTGCTATGATGATGAGCTATGGTCTGCTTTGTACAATCAGTAGTGCACATATCCACACAGCGGTCGGGCCTCTGGGCATTCCTCTGCTATGTGCACACACTGCCAGTTAGCTGATCAACATCCCAAAGCTCTATTTCACGTTTAGGCAACCACAACAAAAAAAAACAAATCACAAAGATTTCCATCTCGTACTGTAACAGGCGTCTTGTTTTTTCACCCCAGTTTGTAGCTCTCTGTGAAAAGATACAAACGGGCCTTCCATTGAGTTTCTGGAGAGCTCTGGAGCCCGAAGTGAGGCCCGCTCTCCGCAACAGAAGCTGCACACTCACATTTGTGCCATTGTTGTAGAACGGTTTGCCTTTTTATTGCATTCTCCTTGCCTGCTCTCACACCATGCGTGCCAACCCCCCCCACCCCACCCCCGCACACACCTTCTCAGTGTGTATGCTATCCTGGGCAGCAGGCCTCTAGAACGACTGAAGCAGCTCGGCGACATCGTGTACGAGGATAGCGCTCAGGTTTCGCGGCGTGGTGATGCCGAGAGTGTCAAAGACAGCTCATTGCGTCTTTGGGTTGTCTCTCGACACAGTACAATCTGTTTTTCTTTTTTATTGGTTGAATTTTCTTTTGGTCGGTTGGCTTTGTGTTGCTAAATGCAGCAGTTGGCGGAGTCCGTTCGCCGTCTTTATGATGAAGACTGAGAGGGTACAGAGAGGCTGGGACTATCCAAATCCCTAAAGCCTCTTCCGTGGGGAGCCCAGCCGATCCCTCATCTTCGCCCCGGTCCAAAGATCTGAGCTGTGATTCCCTCCAGCAGGATTTTATAGAGACACAGAAAGCTCTATTACACCAAAAGCCTGTCCCCGACAAGCCAAATGACAAGATAACAAGTGACATTTTGCTCTATAACATTGTATGGAGGTTTCTTACTGGAAAAATGCCTTTAGATCCATTTGCTGATCTTTTTCTTACTTATGTTTCTGTAGTTAAGCTGTATCTTGATGGTGATTTAATAGTGTTCTAGGTCATATAGAACAGGGAATAAGGCAATTCCCTGAACCCTCAGTGTACAGTTCCTTTTGCATAGACGTTAGCATGTCACCTGGAACCCCTTCCCTGTAAATACTCACCCTTCCCTCCCTCTCTTTTGTCTGCAGTCATGGCTCCAGAGGTACGGCTACCTCCCTCCTGCAGACCCCAGAATGTCGGTGCTGCGCTCTGCTCGAGTCATGCAGTCCGCTATCGCTGCCATGCAGCGCCGCTACGGCCTCAATGTCACAGGCTCTCTGGACAGCAGCACTATAGGGTGAGTCACATGTTTTGAAGGGGGGGACTTTGAGTTCCGAGCTTTCATCGTGACGAGTTCCCTCAAAAGATAAGGAAATGTGGACGGAAGTTATAAGACATTTAACAGGAAGGAAGACACTGCCAGTTATTCAGTGACTCCATAGGAGTTTAATGTAAGTACAAAGAAGCGGCAATGTTTAATTTAGTAGTGTAAGTAGTGTCATTTCTTTTACATGCATGTTACTTTGGAAATCTCCAAACAAATGAGTAAAATGTTTCCAAAGTCTGATTAATTATTGAAATACCAAAACATTATTAGATATTATTCCTGTTTGGTTTTTCATGATTTGATTCAACACTGAAATTTGAAGTTGTTTTAACATAAATTTTACAACGGGAGGGAACAACAGCCAGGAGGTAAAACACGCAGCAAACGAACAAGCAGCGGTTAAAGATTGTTGAAGCTCACAAAGACATCTTCAGAACGGGGGACAAATGGCGGACCAGTCTCTCATTCATCCCGTTTTGTATTCTGAAGGCACCCAGAGTGGTTTTGCCAAGACACTAACTTACCCTAACACGGATTAAGTGGGGCGTCTTAATTCGATCAAAGGGGCCTTTCACGGAGAGTACACCTCTGTTGTCAGATCAAAGGCTGCGAAATGGCAAAGTATTAATACTCAGTGGAAGAACAGGGACAGCGTTCGGTCGCCACTCGCGCGATCGGTCGAACCTCAACGCAGCAGTCAAGGACGACGTGGGTTTAGTGGAAGAACTCACTTTATTGTAACCACGAAGACGAGAAGAGTCTCTGGAGTCTCCACATGGATGTACTGGAGGGTAAACCCACCTGAGGCCTGTAAAAGAGGTTTTAATAAGATTATACTTTGCATTAAGAATCAAAGTCCTATTACTTATGTGAGGATATTAGAAATCAAACAGATGATATACAGAATGCTCTTGTTTTTAAACGGCTCAGGTTATACCCAGTTTAAACCCTCAGGGCCATCATCATTTTACCTGCCAAACACACACACAAAAAAAACTGTGTTCACTGACATTTGTCCCCACCAACACCGAAATGCCATCCGTGCTACAAATAGCAATGAGCTCAAATTGGCCACTGAACCGCGACGTGGCGATGTGGTGGCCAGCGGTGTGAATGCAGACTAACAGCTGTCCCACCGCTGGGCTGAAACGTGATGAGCTAACGGTGTGCCTGTGCTTCTTCTCTCCTCCTCCCGCTTCTCGCTGCCGAAGCAGCGATAACACGATAAGGTGAGGCGCCTTCTGTGTGTCATACATGAGTGAACGTGTGCTTGCATGTGTTGTGTTTAGATTTTGAAGTAACTTTATGTGTAGCGAATTCACGCGTTAACAAAGTCTGCATCTGTTCACGAATGTGAAGAGCTACATTGGATCAGAATTTGAAATACAATGAATGAAAGAATTTTCAAAAGTATGCGCCCCTAGAATGATGATTGATGGCCTCCTATCGTTTTTTTCGTGCAGGTGGATGAAGAAGCCAAGATGTGGGGTTCCCGACCAGATAGGAGGCGCATCCAAATTCAGTGTCAGGAAACGGCGGTACGCCCTGACAGGACAGAAGTGGCAACACAAACACATCACATACAGGTGGGTGGGTTTAAAATGTGCCAAGATCACGCCGGTCAAGCTTGTTTGCTTCATGTAGAGGCAGCTTCACAATAACCCGGTTTTCCTCCAATCCCCATAACCACCATCGACACGCACAGACGATCCCACACACTGACTCGACCCGTCAAAGGGGCTTTTGTCAAGCTGTGAAGACATCCGGCTAACATGATTAGCCCAGTATGTGCCCACAGCCCCGAAGAAATGATCTGCGCAGACTGAGGCACGTGCACACAAACAGGGCTTCATGACTTAACCAGTGCCGTTGACCTTTTCATTAAGATGCACATTCCATTGAGAGAGAGAGAGAGACAGAAAAGGAAACAGCCTGCTATCGTTTGTTTGCATGCACTTCTTGCTCTCTTTTTTTTATCCTGCCTTTAAGCTTTAAACAATGGTAGCCCATTTAAAACAGCCAAGTCTTGGTAGAACTTTTAACTGTCTCCCAATTTCTTCTTGTGGAGCAAAGGAGCAACTTCTGAGCACAATATTTAGATTTATATGAAGGATGGAAAGCTGCAAACCCAAAGGTTAATCCGAAGTTGCTTTTAAGCCAAACTGCAACCATTACACACTAAAAAGACAGTGTTCTTTAAAGCCGGGACTGTGCAAGCTTTATCCTCCGATATGGCAAGAGCCATACATGCACCAGAGATCTCATCACCCAATTCTGACATGCAGCTACATGAGTAATGATATATAGGACAACATGTTATGTAATATTTCTGTTGATTCAGTGAGTTTAGTAGCCCACATTCTGTAATATTTTATACATACCATGCCGATGCTTGCCCCCAGCCCCATGTTACATGGGATAATCCTCAAGAAGTGGGCTTGTTTTTTTTTTTCTCCTCTGTCCTGAGGATAAATGTATAAGCAGTATTACATGCTGAATATAATCTAGTGCATCAGCGACCTACAGCTGAAGTAGGGCTGTACATCACTGATTCATGCCTGTGCATTTTCTCTTCTTAAAAACACAACACTGGGATTGGTTTCCGAGTTCGTACCATGAGTGCATGGTTCCTCTGTGGCGGCGCAGATTTGAAAAGGAGAAAATTAGTGGGCTTGATGAAAAGTGGAGGAGTAGATCGGTGGAATTGAGGGGGTGGGGGGGTTGGAGGAGAAGCAGCTGCACAGAGAAAGAGATGAGCTGAGAGGAGAGGAGGAAACCCTAGTGGAAAGCAGAGGGTGCTCTCTTGACAGATTAGGGTTATCGGATGGGAGCATTTTTGAGAGTGTGAGTGTGAGTGTGAGTGTGTGTGTGTGTGTGTGGGGTACATGGATGTGTGCCTGGCCCCCAGTCAGCAGTCGGATGTGCCCGTAGCTGCTCATTTCAACTCAAATTGGTGCAATGGAGAAAGTTAGAGAATGAAGCTCATTTTATATCTTTATATATAACATCAATGAACGATAACCGGTGACGGTTCTGTGTGTCGCATGTCCACATTCATTTTCTTTACCATTTTGAGACAAACTTTGATTTTATTTTTGTTTTGTTTTGGCCATTGGTTATGATAATGTTGTACCAGCCAAGTGACGTTGCTGAGATCTACGAACGGTCACTGCAACAAACACGAGCAGTCAGACAATCAGACATGGTCAAACGGTTCAAAACGAATTGTTAAAAAAATAAACAAGTCTGGTATTTTGGAAGTATAACAAATGCATGGCCACCCCAAGTGTGCGCTAGTTTCCATGTAGCCACATACAGTACTTGCTGCGGGAAGGCACTAATTAGCTTTGGCATGCCTACAGTTCTCCCTGCATGCAGGTACCATTATAGCAGATGAGTTGCATCCGGAATCATTATCACCTCACAACATGGAGTTGAATATTTTACGTGGCCTCAGAGCAGGCTGGTGATTCTTTCATTCGTCGTCTTGCAGCCTCCGTCTGCGCGCGCTTCTCTCTTACTCTTAAAATAGGACACACGCATACGGTGAGCCGGGTAATAGAATCAGATGAAACCGTCTCTGTACTCCTCAAGGGGCCACAGTTGCTGCTAAAGCCTTTCATTGTAACCCCAGACAGAGCAAGGACATGCACAGGATTCATTGGGAACACTTCAGGTGCTACAACAGTTTCTCTCTATTTCAATCTCGGCGAAAACACTCGTGTCTTTGCAGACACTCTCTGGGTCAGCTGATATTGATATGAAAGCAGGACTTGTACCTCTATCTGCTCTGCATCAGCACTTCAAACGACAAAAGGGCCATTTTGTGTTGCCTCTGTAAGTGGCCCCAATCAGACAGAGACCGTTTGCTTACTCAACAGCCAACCATCGCACTACCAACACTTCACTTGATGTTTCCGTAATTCAAGAGTTCTGGCAAATCTTGAGATGCGAGCATTTATTACTCACACTTGTCTGAGGACACACACACATTTCCACACTATCATTCATCACAATTTACATCCCTTACGACAAATCTTAGATGCAAGCAACAACACGCCATCCAGACAGGTTTGTTGCCGCTTGAGGCTCGAGGCCTTTTTAGTGTTCTTCAGTTCATTGTTTGTGGTGTAACGGGCCAAAACGTGATTGTTGTGGTTCACTCTCACTGCTCTCATCTGTGTTGTTTTCCGGCACAGCAGACTGATGGTAAAAAACAATAACTCTTGAAACCTATTGTACAAACAATTAGCAAAATTAGCAAGTAGAGCCAAATATGTCCCTCAAGGGTCGGTGGAGACCAAAACTAGAGCTAAAGGAGGAGTAAACGGTAAACTCACTTTCATCAGCTCGACACACACGTGACTCCAGATGAATGCTTCTCAATGTGTTGATGAGTCACTGTTCGCTAACATGTTCATCATATCAACTTAATAATGTGATAGTTTGTCTATACAATTACATAAATTCCATTTTGTCTGTCAAAACAGAAAGTCATTAGCTGAAAGTGAAGGTTTTGTCAAAGCTTGTGAGAGAGTAATTAAAGCAAACTCATCTTTGCTGAAGTGCTAGTCAGCTGTGAGCAAGTCTGTCTAGAAAGAGCAGACCAAGAAACAGAAACAGTTTATTCTTTGGTTCAAGCAATTAGAACATTTGAAATGAAATTGCCGACACTCTATTTATATTTCATAACCAGCCTTTATGCTTCCCTTTTCACTGAGTTTGATTTAATAATTAATCTTAGCTAACATACAATATTAATATGCAGTATATAGATGTGCCTTGCAGCAGTCTACCCACGACGCAAAAAAAGATGAGTAACAGACGTCCTGATAATATTTATTGCCATAATGGGATATGACAGCCAAACACAGATGCTGTGAAGGACCACAAGGAGAAAGGGAACAAGAGAGAGGTTACAGGAAATGCACAGAGGAAATGGGATGGGAGGGAAAAAAACACTTGAGCAAGAAGAATTTTATTTAAAAATAAATAAAATTAAATTGGCACTTTATTTACACACTACACTTATCAACTGATCTCAACTCAGACACAGCGCTACAGGCATAAGAAGACATAGAGTATTGTGTGCGTGTATGTGTGTGTTTACAGTTGGATGACGCAAACTATACCCATCCGTCTATCCCAAAAGAGAAACCACGTTTTAATAGAGCGTGACACCGAGATATTTTCAGAGCGAATAAAGTGGAGTCAGGTTTTTTCGTGATTGCCCGAACCTGACTGGGGCTCTCGGCAGCCAGTGGGCTGTTGATAATCCGTAATTAGAAAATAACTTTCAGTGGCAGGGAACTGTCCCGTCCTCTCCACACCTGCAGCAACTCAAAGCCGGCAAGGGAGGACTCAGCTGTTCTTCCCTCTCAAATCGCTTCATTTAGCTTTCTGCTGGCGAACACGATGAGCGTGAAATGGCAGCATGCGGGGAGAACAAGCATCGGGATGGATGTTTGAGTTTTGGATACTGTGATTGTGTAGATTGACATGGTGTGTGTTTTAGTTTTTTTTCAACCGTTGTAAACTGACTATTTTTTTTTTTTTATATCCCACCATATCTCAAGCTCTGAGTGGACATCCAGCGGAATCGGCCACTCTTCCCTGTGTTACGCTCAAAGAACCCAACAGTCTTATCAGACCAGTTTACAATAGATTTGCTCATCCTGACAGCTGAAGGAGAAATCCCAACTCGAGGCTTAACTTTTCCCTCCCGTGTCTCTGCAGCATAAAGAACGTGACACCCAAAGTGGGGGCAGAGGAGACCCACGATGCCATTCGGCGGGCCTTCGACGTCTGGCAAAATGTAACGCCGCTGCGCTTCGAGGCCGTGCCCTACAGCGAGCTGGAGAGGACCAAGAAAGACGTGGACATCACCATCATCTTCGCTTCGGGTTTCCACGGCGATAGCTCGCCCTTTGATGGCGAGGGTGGCTTCCTGGCCCACGCCTACTTTCCAGGGCCGGGAATAGGAGGCGACACCCACTTTGACTCAGACGAACCGTGGACGCTGGGCAACCCCAACCACGACGGTAAGCGTTGATTCATGTTCTTGGGAGATGGTATCAGACATATTTTTAAAACAAAAGGTCTGTCAGCTGATTCACCTGGAATGAGTGTGTGAATGTAGAATATGTACAGGGTTGATATTTTGCGTCTAGGCTCCGTCTCTCCCCATAAAGAAACCCAGAGCTCAGCACATCAGGGAGTGGAGGGTGACGATAATAACTTATCCTCTCGGGGAACAAAGTCTCAGAGCCTACAGGTGGATGCTGAGGCGGAGCTGCTGCCTGTGAAATGCTATACGAACAGCGCTAGCGGTGAGCGGGGAGTGATGAGAATAACTTAGCCCTAGAGGAGCATAGACTCAGAGCCTACAGCTGGATGCTGAGGTGGAGCTTTTGAAATGCTATAACAACAACAACAACAACAACAACAACAACAACAACAACAACAACAA